CTGGAATGCTGCTAAGTTGAAGCAGTACTACAGTTAGAAACTGTCAACACCTAGGACCCTCGACCAAAAGCAAACACGCTCGGGCAACGAGGAAAAACGTCCAATTTCGTTTAAGGCTAAGGTACAGGCCCGACACACGACCAAAATGGCACGGCATCGCGCGGTAGACGTTGACGATCGATAGTGCCTGACGTGGACAGCTGTACCGAGCCCCACCGTCGTTGTACCCATAAGGCAGAACACCCAGCTCGCGATGGGCAGTTCACGCCAAGGGCGAATCGTCCCTACGGGCTCCACGCCCGACTGAGCAACCTCGCTCCGAAATGCCCGACATTCCATCAAGAATAACGGGACATCTACAAGGGTCAAAAGAAAATCTCTCCCCTCGAGCGAAACACTTAAGCAACCCCGGCCAACCGAAATAGGGCCGAGATTGCACACAAATGGAGACGAGCATAGTCGCTCGCCAAATCAAAGCCACCTACGGGCACTCCTCGGGCCCGGGACTTGATCTAAATTCATACAAGCATGTGAGTTCATACAAGGGCAGAAAATCCAAAATAAATAACAAGGTATAAACGCCCGAAGGCAACAAAGCAATATTAAACCGACCAAGAAGGCCGACGGTGTTCAAAACATGCAATAAACGGGCACGCAGGCCCAAAGAATACGAATACATATCAAGGGCGCGCAGGCCCGCTATCCAAAGAATACAAATATCAAACTTCTACATTATCATCATTGTCGACGCTGGGAGAGTCGGGCGGAGGAATGATCGCGCCACCTACAACCCGGTGGGTGTGCCCGATGCCCTCGGTGATCAGGCCAGGATTTAGCAATGAGAGCTGGTCGACTGCAGAATTGAACCCATCTTCCAGAGCACCGACACAGTCCGCCTCGAGGAGCCGGATATGGGCAATAAGCTCAGCCCGACTCTTCAAAACCACTAGGTCCTCGGGCTCATCTTCGGCGGGTTGCTGAACAGCATTCAGTTCCTCAACCTGTTTACCCAGGCGTTCGACTTCAGCAGCCAAACGATCCCTGTCGGTCCGGAGCAACTCCCCTTCCTCAGTCAACCTCCCCGACTTCTCCTTTTCCAAGGTCAGCATCTCCCTCTCGGCATCAAGTATCGCGGTCTGCTCTTGGAACATCCCCTCGGAGCGTTCCAGAGCGACCTTCAACTTCCGCGAGCTCGCAGTCAAGGCCGCCTTCTCCTGCTCGAGCTCTTCAACACGAGCAACATCCCCTGCATCCTCAGATAACACCAGAGCCATTTCGGCCATTTTAACCAGCCCGTCCACGCTGGCGACCAGACGCGACTTCCTCTCCTCTTTAGTCATCCTCTTGATGGCCTCAGCTTCATGAGCGACCACTGTCGGAGGGAACCGCTCGAAAAAGCCCGCCTCTTCGAAGCAAGGGGGGAAGGCAAAAGATTGAACAGCACCGGCATCTTCCCCGACAGTCGAACCGCCTTCCACGCGGGTCCTCTTCCTCTGCGTCAAAACGGCGCTGGGGTCAATCTCCTCGACCTCTGGATCTGACGCTGCTCCCGAGCTCGACGTCGAATCCACCCTCACCGGCTGAGGAACGTTCAGACTTGGTTGTGGTCCCATTCTCGTCGTCTGCGGGGCCTGCACGACCCTTTTGCCTCGCCTCTGGCCGGTTGATAATTTCAGGAGCCTCTCATGTCGGCTGGCCATCGTACCTGCACGAAATAAAAGAAAAGTCAGTATCGAGCAAACTGCATTAATAAATGACGAATAAAGTATTTCAAGCAAACAACCTAACAGGCGGGCTGCCTGCCTATATGTCGAACATTCCACCAACGCCTTGGTGTCGATCGGGCGAGACTCAAACGTCGGGTAACCGTCTTTGTCGAGGATATCGTCCCCTTCCCGAGTAACCCATTGGGCGGGATGAAAACTGTCGACAAACCGACAAAGAGCCTCATACGACCGTTGATCTTCCGTGCACATATCCCCGACTGCGGTATGGAAATAACCTGTTCCATGATCGTAGTGTCGGGACATCCAATACACCGGGAACTTAGCCCTACGACCTAACACGGGGCTCCCGTCGTCGGCCAACATTGCTTCCCCGTCATCATCGCTGACCGGCCCTTCCTCCTCGAAGAGGGAATCTACAGCAGAGTCGGTAGTAGGGCGCACCACATACCACTTGTCCTTGAACCCCCTCACGGAGTCCATATACATCCTAAACAGTCTCCTCGACTGCTTAAGGGACACCCAGCTGTGCTTCCCTCCTCGGGACTGACGCTGCAGGTGAAATACCCGAAAGAAAAGAGGTATGGTCGCCCCTATCCTTAGGTAGCGACACGTCAGCTCAAACGCCCGGATGAAGGCGAGAGAGTTTGGGTGTAGCTGGGACGGGGCCAGCTCCAAATGCGTAAAGACCCCGGTCTGAAAATCTGTGAACGGCAGCCGAAACCCTAAGTCTTTAAACGCGATCTCGTACATCGCAAAGCTGTAGTCTGGGTACATTGAACAAATTCTTGCATTGGTCGACGGAAGCATGACCACGAAATTCTGCTGAAAGTCGGGCTGGTCCTGCCCCTCTTCAATAGCGGTGAATGGATGTCGGTCATCCCGACTGTATATCGACGCCGTCCCCCGAGGCTCGGCACCCACCCATTCCAGCGATGGGTCGGTCACGGTATCTATAAGGGTCGCCGACTCGTCGGCACTCGGTTCTTCGCTATCACGACGACCGGAGGAGCTCGGCTCATCCGCCATGGTTACCTGCAGAGCACGGGAAACCAATCAGATTGAGCATGAAGTCCCATGCTCGACATAATCATGTCGTCCATACACTACTACACGTCCATTTTCACAAGTGGATGCCTCCCCGACTCTCCTGAACCCAGTGTTCTTCCTCAAACCAACTGCGCGGCCATTCTTCAAGCATGTCGACCCGAGGTATGAACATGGCGAGCCGCACTATGAAGCCCACGGCCACGACCATGAACGTACCGGGCACGGTCACGAATTAGGCGCCCGGATCATGAAGACCCCGGGCAGCTCTGAAGTTTTTCACCTAAAACTATGAATGTGTCGGCCATGAGTATGCGTTTTCCGGTCCTAGACATGAACATGTCGGGCAAAACACGAATCTACCGGGCTAATCCCACGCACACGATCCTAAAACATCTACAAATTCCAGGAATCATGCATTCTAAAACGGAAAAATGAAGAAAGTAGATCACTTACTTGGATCAAAGTTGGGATTTGGCTAAGAAATGAAGAATCTGAGACGGGAAGTCACAACTGGAGAGAGTCTTGAGAGCGGCAACAGAGAGGGCACGGAGAACGGAAAACGTATTATGGGGCCCAAGGACCCTATTTATAGTAATGACGTGGAATACCAAACGTCACCTCGTTCAGCCACGGACTCCATCTCCTCGACGCACTGCTCCCAACGCAATGATGGCCCTACCCCCCTAGGGTGGCGGCACAACTCCCGAAAGATGCCTCGTATGCTCGACTGACGCGCCCGGTACGGATCCTCCACGCATCCACCACCGAGGACGTCTCCGAGCACGGAACGAGAAGACCCCTCGAGGGTCCACGCCTCCATCCCGGGCACGAGACCTCAGCGACGGAACAACTGTTTCAAGTCATGGCTCCTCGCAAAGGAACCACGACTTGGGGGGCTCCTGTTCTGGACTGGGCCCGACAGGCCCAAAAGCATTACTAAGGCCCAGTCCAAAGGGACTCACTAAGGACCACACCGGGCAAAGGGGGTCGCGTCCATGCCCGACACCCTGATGTCCACCTCGACATCGCAATGTCCAGCCCCACGTAGTGAAGTCATGCTCGACACCCTGCCGTCCGACTCTGTGTCCTGACGTCCAGCTCGACACTCGCTGTTCAGCTCGAGGTCTTGGCGTCGAGCTCGGCACCGTGCAGCGCAGCTCGACATGATCTCGAGCTACCTGGCTAGGGTAGACTCAGTCCACCGTTACCCCAACGATACTCCGGAAAGACCGCGTCTCTGTCCGCCCGCACTTCACGCAGCACATCCAGGAAGGGGACCACGTGCTGATCCCCACTACCCACGTAGAACCTGGCAGTTCCTCCATTGGGCCAAATCCGCCCGGCCCAATGAAGGAACCTTGGCCCAGCGCTGGGGGCTATAAATACCCTCTGTTTCCAGAGGGTCAGGTATTCATCATTCTAACCTCAACTCTATTATCTGCTCGTACTCCCACTGACTTTAGCATCGGAGTGCCTTGCAGGTACCCCCCTCCTCGTTCAAAAAGCCTTCAGCTCGGAGTAAGCCGTGACGGTCCAAACCTTCTGATCAGGTCAGATCAAAAATAAAGATGAAAAACAAACTTTAAAAAAATCAAAATGTCATTGTCGGTTACTATTCTAGTATAGAACTATAATAAAAAACAAATATGTCTCTGATTCCAATGCGTGCGTGAAACCGTGTCTAATATTGAATACCAACATTTTCTTTTGTTTGAATATTCTCAATTTAAACTGTTTGATGGAATTATTTAAGTGAATATAGTAGTACAAAATTAATAATGAAGATGAAGACATGAGATGTAGTCTTGTGTGATGTCTCTCAGAGCAAAGGTACTCATATTGATGGACGACTCGATTAAATTGATCCGTTAATTGGGCCCGTCAACTCGATAAAGAAACTCATTACAATTTTTATTTAACACAATAATATGAAAAGAATATTGATTCAAAGTAATTAGAATATACAATAATACAAAATTTGACAGGAATATTTTATATTAAAAAGAAATAATGATTAGTCCATTGTCAAAAATGGTAGGCGATATTTAAAACTTAGATTATAATATAGGACTTAGTTGGTATGGGCTGCTGCTGTATAGTTTCACCAACACTCAAATGTGCTTCTATATATATTTGAGTTATTATAGTCTCTTATCAAACACAGAAAGACAGAAAGACAGAAGCAAAAGATAGAGAAAGTGCAACATAAAGCTATAAGAAATAACAATGGATCTAGAGCAACAAGTGTACATGAAAGGAGGCCATGGAGAAGAAAGTTATGCAAATAACTCATTGGTTCAGGTACTTACACATGTAACATTATTTTATTCAATTTTCCCATTTATCTTTTATTTCTGTATAAATTTTATTATATTGAATTGGAAGAGAGTTTTTTGTCAAATATATATTTGATAAATATTATCTATTTTATTTCACTATAGGGAAATGTGATTTTTTCTACAAAGCTCATAAGAGAGGAAGCCATAACTAGCCTATATTCCACCGCACTTCCTAGGAGCCTTGCAATTGCAGACATGGGTTGTTCTTCTGGACCAAACACTTTATCAGTGGTGACAGAAATTATCAAGGTTGTGGAAAAACTTTGTAAAAAACTCGATCATTCGTCTCCCGAATACAAAGTATATTTGAATGATCTTGCAGGAAATGATTTCAATGACGTCTTTAAGTCACTTGACAACTTCAAAGAGAATCTATCTGCTGAAATCAAAAGTGAAATTGGCAATTGCTATTTCTTTGGAGTACCCGGTTCTTTCTATGGTAGAGTTTTTCCAGATCGGAGTCTGCATTTCGTTCATTCCTCTTATAGTCTTCATTGGTTATCAAAGGTTTATACTTTTACCTCATTTTCTATTTGATTGAGCTAACAGCTATACATAAATTAGTAAATGATGATTGCTTCTCGACTAAGCATTCAAATTACATAAGAAAATATATAACTGGTTTTTGTTTGTATGGTGAATAACTAGGTTCCTGAGGGTGTAAACGATAATAAAGGTGCTATTTACATCCAAAGCACAACTCCTTCAAATGTTATCAAAGCTTACTATGAGCAATTTCAAAGAGACTTTTCACTTTTCATCAAGTCTCGAGCAGAGGAAATAGTTGAAGGGGGTGCCATGGTTCTAACTTTTTTGGGAAGAAAAGGTGATGACCCAAGAAGTAAGGATTGTTGCTTCATTTCAGAGCTTTTTGCCAAAGTTCTTAATGACATGGTTTTAGAGGTATATATATATATTCATATCTTATAAATAAGAGAAAATAAAATTTGAAATATGAATATAACTAAGAATGTTTTTATTGTATGATATATAGGGAACTATAAATGAAGATCAATTGAATAGTTACAACAATCCCAATTATTATCCGTCTCCTCATGAAGTGAAATTAGAAATTCTGAACGAAGGATCATTTGAAATCAAACATTTGGAGGTGTCAGAAGTAGATGTAAATGCTTTGAACAATCATAGTCCTTATACATTTACGCAATCCATGAGGGCTGTGTTTGAACCTGTGTTTGTTAGCCATTTTGGCGAAGCCATCATTGAAGATGCTTTTAACCGCTATCAAGAAATCGTGACAGATATAATGGCCAAGGAAATAATAAAGACGACTTATTTTACCTTGTCATTGACTAGGAAATCATAACAAGGATGAAGTTTGGTCTACTTGTTCATGATTTTATCGGCAACAAAACATACTGCAGAGCCTTTATTTTGGTTTGTTAATGTAAGCAAAGAATAAGAATTATAGGAGTATCTATGATTGTGTTGCTTTCTATCTCCCCTTTTTGTTTATTCTACCTCATTCCTTTGTCTCTACATATGGGGGTTGTAAGAATTCTATTTTATGATGTTTATTTAAAATCTTACAAGTAGTTGTGTCTAATATTACACACCCAACCGTGGCACTATGATCACATCACACACCCTATCCAGTGAACATTTGCAGCTACTCATCGATATGTCTTGTAAAAATCTCAGTGACCCTATGAGGAATAGCATAAAATTCTTGTAACAAAACAGGTATCAATGCAAAATTTCCGGATTTAACCAATATGCCTCCATAAAATAGTATTCCCTGCCTATATGCATAACCTATCCAGTGAACACTATAGGCATCACATTCAATCACAAATCCTTTGTTGAAATCCGACAGGGCCAACACACAGGATGTTGGCGATTTTGTATCACCAATGTATTTTAGTAGTAATGTGATTTCTAAAGGCCGATGCAATTATGCGTTAAGTTCGGAGACGAGTTAGGGAAGTGCGGAGTGCACGCTCGTCGAGCCAATACATAATTGAATACGAATAATTGAAACGGGGTTCCAAGGGGCGAAGCTCCTGGCGGGGTGCGGGGCAGCGCCCCGTTGGGGTTCCAAGGGGCGAAGCCCCTGGCGGGGTGCGGGACAGCGCCCCGCGGGATCCAAGGGGCAAAAATTTGAATCCTTTTCCCAACGGACATAACTGTTTCCCAACGGACATATTCGTTTCGAACAAATGTGTCTCTTCGTTTCAATTACTGTTCTCCTATATAAGGAGTCGTTCGGCCTCGGTCTCGTATACAGAAAAACGCATCCTTCTCTCTATAATTACAATTCGTTTCTTTTGTCGGAAACAGAATTTCTTCGAGAATTATCCCCACAAAGATTTCGTGAACCCAGACAAGAATAGGGTCGAAATACTTTGTTCGGAAAGTGTACGAACACGATTCATCGAAGTTATCCAGGATTATCACACCCTAAATTTCTAACACAGGATTTGGTAAGTTTCAGCTTCAACTCATCAAAGTCTCCCTAATATTACTGGGCTGGAAAACACACTGGTACCGTGGCATATAATTCCTGCCGCTAGCATTTTCTTAATTTGTTTTTCAATCTCATTCTTGTGATGGTGAGGGTATCTATATGGTCTAACGTTGACAGCATCATGTCCATCAACGAGGTTGATACTTGTTGATAGCATGTTATGTTCTCCTCTTTTGTGGTAAAATTGTTGGATCTTGAAATGCATGTGCAAATTGTTGTAAAAAATTGTCCATCTCACTAATTTATGGGAAATGAAATTATTTCCGCACCACTATCACCCCAATATTAGAATAGGAACACCACAAATGAGGCCTTGGAATTTCACCATGTGATGATTCTCACGAACAACTGGTTCGAATTCAGAACTCTAATATTTCCCCTCTCTTCTTCATCGGTGTCTTCTACGTCCATAGCCAGAATCTTAGTTTAAGAGCTATAATCATCCTCATCTTCCATTACTAACACACTCAAATGATTGTTTGGGCTTTGGTGCATAGGGTGAAATGCACCCTCACATTTGTCGTTTCATCCTCACCCCCCTCTAGTTTGACTTGGTAACCCCATATGTTTCAATAATATTCATATTGACCTTGTGAAAATTAAAACAAAAAATTCGGACAAAATATCCTGTAGATCATTTCTAAAAAATTGGAAATTTGCTAAAAATCTGATTTTCAAAAAGTTGGGAAATTATAGAGATATTTGTATAGGAAGTGAAAAATCTGAGTTATAAGAGAGAAAAAATGGAAGATTGGGATTTTGCCGATACTTTTGTACTACTGTGATTGCACTAACTGTGTTGCGGGCTTTAGAATGAGTTCAAATTTGTATAAATAAATGTCATGTGTTTTGAGATTAACATCACAAAATATCTCTTTCTCAATTTTTATCTAAGGTAGTAGTGTACTTCAACGGAGAGAAATCTCCGTAGAGTTCGACTCTCGGAGGGAAGCACATGTCTCGCCGTCATGAGATCCGTTTTGAATGATTTATTTCCTAACACCGATAACAGAAAGGTGAAATACAACTTTATTGAGTTAAAGACAGATGCAAATTTGAAGGTTATGTGGACATCATATCGTCGTAGGCTAATTAAGGGATCAATCGAGTTTGATGCGAAGATTTTTAGATCTGTTGACGACATAATCAAGATATTGAAACATCCAAATTCATCTGGTAGTGTTTATGTTATGTTATTTATTATTGTTTTCTTAAATTATGTAATCGTCTATCTAAGTTATGTAATCATATGTCGAATGTTAAGATATATTCATCATGCATAAATGAAAATGCCAAAACGTCAACTAATAAATAATGAGTAATAAATAACATAATATATACATAATACATAACATAAAAATAATATGCCGGTAAGTCCCTCCACATGCTATGTGTGCTTCATACGATGTCAAACTATAAATTTCACCATTTGAATTCACCAAATTTATGAGGTTATCCATAATGAATCCTATAATCTACAGGCGTTGAGCGTCATCCGCACCATGTGGAGGCGGCATGTCATCAGAAGGCACTCTAATATCGGCATGGGATGATCCAACATGAGATGATCCAACATGAGAAGGCCCAACATCATCTTCATACTGACTAGGTAGGATGATGCGATGGTGTGATACACCAAGCTACCACTCCAAGTACCCATCCACAAACTCCTCCAGAAACTGAGTATCAACCGCATGATCTCTATGGGCATGAGCAGACCTCAAAATGTGTCCAACAAATCAGCTATAAATGCCCAGAGATGGAACAAGAGGAATATGGAGTGGGATATTCTGAACATATCCTGACTAGCGTAGACACATATCGGGTAAGTGTCTAGAAACTAAGGCCTCCCATCGTAGATAACTATTTGCTAGCTGAATATGGAAGAGAGAGAGAGAGAGAGAGAGAGAGAGAGAGAGAGAGAGAGAGAGAGAGAGAGAGAGAGAGAGAGAGAGAGAGAGAGAGAGAGAGAGAGAGAGAGAGAGAGATTACGACTAGGGTTCCATAAACCAAATTTCATCCAGTAGGAAAACTTCAGCACAAGAGTTATATTTATTGAGTCGCTTATGTAAGTTGCAAGCTAAACAAGCCCACTTAAGTGCATCGTATCTTACAGTGTATTGTATTCCACTTAAGTGCACCATACCTTACGGTGTTCCACATTCCACTTATGCTCACGGTAATTTATGGTGTTATTTAGTTAACTTAAGTACATTGTACATTATGGTGTTCTATAATTTACTAAGTACATCGTACCTTGCAGTATATCATTGTGATGAAATTGGAAGATTAACGGGCAAAAATAATGTCAAAGTGTGAAGAGTTGAGCAAAAATCTATCACAAGTAAGAAATAAAAAATTAGTAAAAATATAGAAGAAAAAGTGAAGAAAATAAAACTTTGGCTACTAGATTTCTCACGCGCGTGCGATGCATCCCATCAAGGGGCGACAAAGCTTATATCGTGGTGCGATGAAAGGGTACTGTGGCGCAATGGTATGAATTATTGCAGGCATAAATTTCTATTTAAAAGCCTTTTTGCCAACTTTTTGAGGGGTTCTGAAACCTAGAGATATAGTGACAGCTAGGAATATTCAAGAGGTGAATTTTTGGAGCATTGGAGTCATTGGAAAGCTATTTTTCATTAAATTTTGATGATGAAGATTTATCAACTCATGATATTTGTTAATTTATCAATGAGTAGCTAAGTTTCTCTAGATTAAGTCTTTTCAAGATGAAATTTATTATTACTTTGTTGGATCATATGCCTGTTTGAGATTTATTGAACATTTTTCTTATTATTATTATTATTATTATTATTATTTTATTATTATTATTATTATTATTATTATTATTATTATTATTATTATTATTATTATTATTATTAATCATTCACGAGTTTAATGTTTTTTGTTCATTGACTAGCACACAAATCAATATTAGAGACGTAGGGATTTGTGACTGTTAATCTACTGATTTGATTTAAGACAATTATTTAATTTAGTAATTAACTAGGGTTAGGTAATTATAAATTATTTCTTTTGAATTTACGCACTTAGAACACCTAATTTAACTTTATATTGGCCGAAGGAATTAGGAAATTATTGTTTAAATTAGTGAGATGTACACGAAGGAATTAGGTGCACTGGTTAATTCACAGCAAGATAATAATTTAATCGCAATTCAATTATTACGATTTAAATTTTCACATAATTAATTTTTTAAATTGCAATCCTCTTGAAGACGATCTTTTTAATTATTACTTCGACACTATCAATATATTTATCGAAAGATCATCAAGTTTTTGGCATTGTTGCTGGGTATTGTTGATTTCAACATGGCAATTTAGTTTGATTTACTTTTTTTTATATATTTTTTTTGCATTTTATTTATTTTTAGTTTTAGTTTTTGATTTAGAAATTTAATTTTAGTTTTAATTTTATTTCCTACTTTTGTTTTGTTATGTTTGGTGCGGTACTACTAAGGTAATTCTTGTTGTTTTTACAAGGTAGTGATTTGATGCTGATATTGATTGATCCTGAAATCGAAAGAACAACATGCATAATTTGTAGATCAAAATGATAAGCATTACAAGTTACTGGGGAAGCAAAAGAAGAGAAAGTAGATAGGAAGTTCCACCACGTCAAATGTTGGGGACTATTGTAGGAGGACCGATGCAGAACATATATCCTTAGGTTTCAACCTCATAATCTGGTAAGCTTCGATATTAAAAATTCTTTACTTTTAGGTTTAATGAAGAACCCGTTCAACGGGAAAGCAATTAGCAATCCTTGGGAGCATCCAACTAAATTCCATGAGACATGCTCAATGTGTAAGTTGG